TTTGATGAAGGAAAATCTTGGTGTGGATGAGATCCTAGGAGTGGTCAGAGCAGCGAGCAGAGTCCATGCAGAAGAGGCAACAATGAATGTGTGTTGAAGTGAGGCATATTTGACTATAATTTTACTGTTGTCAAGAAGCTGAAGGAAAGCACTGGATTTTGTGGCATTAATGAGAAGAGCTTCAGTAAACCCTGTATCTTTTGTTTCTAAATCTGCCTACTCTCTTTCTCTACTGGCCACTTTATTTCTCAGCAATGAGGTCAAATGACTTTCAAACCAGAGGATATCATATGAAGATACTCTACTATTGTTTTTCCCAATCCTCTCTTGTTTCTTTCTCTCCCAGGATGCACCCCTCAGAAGTGTGGCCGCGCAGTCACAGACAGTGTGGTAACACGGGAGGAAGCTCAGGTCCTCAGGAGGTAAACACTGGCATTCAGAGTGCAGTGCCTCTCATCTTCTTCTCCACTTCATTCCTAGTTGTTTTGCCATCCATTGTCTCCTATTTCCTTTAATGCTCTGTGTCTCTGACACACAGGCTGGCTGAGAAAGGGCTGGCGCTGGCAGGGTCAGAAGGAGGAGTGAGTATAATACCAGATGAAATTGTTGGAATAATTTAAGATGGCACAGCTAAAACAAAAGCCTAGATAGTGTTTGTTCGAGTGAATGGTGTTTACTTTACCAGAGGTTGTTGTTTGTCTTCTTGCAAGTCATTTGCCTTTCTTCAAATATTGATGGCATTGATTGACAGTAAATGCTTACAGTTTTCCAAAGATCATCAGGTATTTCAGTATGACCTTTCAAGCAGCCCTTAGTTTACATTCATTTCAGTGCTTAATAAACAGGCAGAAACTTTCCTGCAATATGCTAATAATCCTTCACAGGAAACAGAATATTATCTGACCTATCTTTTTAAGAACATACTAATTTGACCTGAAATTATACAAAAGTGCAACAGTGTGTAGTTATCAGCTCAAACATACAAAATGAAAATATGGTAACCAGCCTACAGAAAATTTAGACATGCATATAATTCAGATTTCATGCTGAAATAGACCTTTGACACAAGAGGGCAGGCTTGTTCAATAAGTAGAGTTCACACTTGATGGGCCGCTATGCCTCTTAAAGGTGGGGTTGGTGATTCCTTCCAGAATATTTTTTTTGTTACATTTATTGAATTTCTGGTTTCATCAAAATGACAGTAAATACATTAAATGTACTGACAACATATAAAAAAAAATCTGTCATCTGTGGCAGCAGCAGGGCTGAAAAGCACCTGACCAATAATTTTACTTGTCCCAAGTAAAAACTATTGCCTACCTGCCAGTCAACCTAACTTCCTACTTGAGTGCACTCTGCCCTTGTACTCACTGTGTGAGCCAAGTCTCCCACAAGATGTTGCAGTTGCAGGCAAACGTGTTACTGCTCTGTTTTGATAGCTAAAGCCAGCGAGCTATGGCAGAGAAGGTACTCAGCAGCTTTTATTCTCATACAGAGACTGTTGTTACAGACCAGACCTTCCCCTTCAAGACATATAGCCTTATAGGTGTTGTTGTTGCCAGAAGTTGCGACCTGCATGCATTATGAGAGCGAGAAGACCGCCACATGGAACAGGCCCCTTTTAAATGCAGCCACCGGTGGGAAAATGCCAACAGTAGTCAGCTCTAAGGGTATAGATAGGACTGTGATACAGTTAACTGGGTATCAAAGGCCACATGCAGTGTTCTTGTTACCAAGACAGAATAAAGCCTGTGTTTTGAACGGTGTAAGCTGGCCTCCATCTTCACTTCTTCCCATTGGAAAAGACCAGACTTCTAAGGTTAGTTACCAGCTACGAGCCTAAAGTCTAAAGCAGTTTAGCCATGAACCAGAGGTTACAGCTAAAAAGAAGTTGGGTGCTGCAAGAAGTAAAGCCAGAATTAACATTGGCATGGCTTTTGAATGATGCTGACAACTGAGAGAACAAAAGGGGCTGAAAAGTGATGCCATGGTAGCTGTATTTCTGCTGGACGGGTAATTATCAGTTTTGTTTTGTTTGGGGGCATTTGGTATTTTCCTGAAATCTTTAGTAGTCAGGCAGTGCGTTGTGTTTTGGAGGAGTGGCTTTGAAGAGAAGCCAGAACAAAAGGGTTGGATTTCTTCAGTTGGCCACTTTCAAAATTGAGCTTCCTCTTGTTGGCTTTTTCAGGATCACCAACCCTACCTTTAAAAGGCAGAGACATATTCTTGTGCATAAACGTCTGGATGTCCCTGGCATGCCCTACTCCCTACTTTTTATCCCCAGCAGGCCTCGTCCTCAGCTAATAAAGGAACTGTTCATGGAGTGTTAGGGTATTCATCAGAAGAGGGGAAGCAACAATAGGGTTTCTGAGAGAATGACTTGTTTTTTGGCTTGAGAAAAACAGCAATGTCCCAAAGAAGTTTACAAGCAATAACAAGCAAAGGCCACAGTGAGGATGCCATGAAAAGGCTAATGAGGGAACAGCACTGATGAGAAATGATGACTGTGCCACATGCATACCAGCGTGCACAAACAACCAGCATTTATTTGCCCAAATGATTTGTCATTTGCAGTTTCTGTTTTTCCTTTGTCCTCTGCAGGCCTCTATACTTGACCTGCACTCCGGAGCGTTGTCGATGGGAAAACAGTTCGTCAACATCTACAGGTGGGGAGCACATCTTTATTAGTTTTTCTCTGTTTTCATACCCACAGGAATGTCATCCTGTATAATTATAACATTTACAGAAATGTATTCACCATAATATGGAGCTAGTCATCATCTCCTCTTCTCTATATTCTTCCCTCCCTTCTACGCTACCAGTTAGAAGTTTGAACACACATTCTCACTGAATTAAATGGGAAAGTGTCTCCAAACTGATACTGTACTGATAGTGTACTTTCTCCCTCCATTCATTTATTCATTTCTCCCTCAGTTTACTTTGATCTCTCTCTTTCTCATCCCAATGGGCAAGTGGATGACATGGGATCCTCAGGAACCATTTGGCTGATTTTAATCAGGAAGAGATGACGATAACACTCCCCACACTTTGCAGTTTTCACACCCTGCACTGGGGACTTCCTCATGTGAAGCAGTCAGACATTTACTATCTGCTGTATTTGGATGGCTGGGTAGCACACCCACCTGGTGCCCTGTCCCGTGCTGCCAAACGTTAATTTATGCTAACAGATCCCATCTCCTCTGCTCTTTTTCTCCCCTCTGCTGTGCCTGTGCTTGTGTTTGTTCCTTTCTGCTCATGTGTCTCTGATTGGCTTTGTCTGTATCTGGAACTGTGCGTCTGTGATTGTGTGGTGGGCATGTGCTTGCAGGTATTTTGGGGATCAGATTAGAGATGCTTTCACACAAGAGGATTTCCAGCTTTACAGGTGACTAAAGAACCATAATTAAATATCAGCCATGCATTTATTCCACATTTGTAAGAGATTATACTCCAAAATGAGACAACTGACATTTTTTGAAAAGGTGACGTACACTAAGATGATTGTATATAATAATAGAAAGCATCAATTTTCATTATAATGGATTTTGTAGCACTCTCTTATATTTGAACATGTATTAATTGATCAGTACCATGTACTAATTGGATGCACATGATTGATTTATACCTGTACACCTGTTCAGTCATCTTTATGCAGGTTGTGTTAATGCACACCTTGTGGAGGTGTTGAATATAGCAGAACCAGCATAAGCACCCAAATGAAAATATACTGAATACTGGCACAAATTATTTGCTAATAGCAGTTGAACTTGTAAAGTGGTGATAAGGGATGAAACGTGTTGTCTGTTTTTCACTATTAGAGTTGTACGTGGGCGAATCCAGGCAGTAATTGCTGAAACATTTGGTTTGAACCCAACTCTGATGTACCTCACCAAGCCCACCTTCTTCTCCAGAATCAACAGCACAGCAGCCAAGACCCAACATGACGAGTACTGGCACCCACACATAGATAAGGTAATGCCCAAAAACAAAACGGCTGCTCATTCTTGGATCGCCTGTAGAGAAGCACTGACTTGGTATGTTGGGTGGTATATGGGGTGTTACTGACTTCATTGAATGGATAATATATTGGTAAGAACCTGAATCTTTACTTTTAGAGTTACTGCTTCCAGTCTTTACCTATGGTCATGCGGTTTGGGTAATAATTGAACAAATTCAATTTCAAACACAGGCTTACCAAAATGAGTTTCTGCAAGCTGTCAATAGCCTCCTGAGTGCTAAAGTCAATGGCCTGTGGGGCCACTCATCCAGGATGAGCATCCAAATCCTGTCAATCAAGAAAGGAGCAGAAAACAGATCCAGCAAATTGGATTTTACTTCGACTGATTCTGGTCTGCTTGGCGACAGCAACTTCAACAAGTCAATCAAAACAGATAAAAATAGTGTGCTGAAGGTCAGACAGAGCTTGGGGTAGGGCTGATGTTTCTTTGCATTCAGGCGTGGTTGAAGTAGATAGCATCCTCATGAGAATGTCTCCTGGCCAGGCTGCACTTTGAGATCTTGCAAGAAGGGCTTGAGGACATGTTTACAGTTTTGAGGAAATCTAGAACAATGTCTCAAACCCCCTCTATCCACACCTTTCTAATGACCAAAATGTAGAACTGCATCCAGCAATTTATGTAACTTCCCCCCAAAGAGTCAATACAGATGTGAACTTCTCTCTGAACTTGAACATGTACAAAGGAGGGCATTGCCACGAATGCTTTGAAGAAGACATTGGCCAAAACAGTGCACCGTTTATCATCGTTTGAACCACGATCGCATGTCGCCACCAAATGAGTAGTAGGGGGAAACACTGCTTCAGTCTTAAGACGAGGTTGGCTGACACATCACTTAGAGTAGTTTCAAGCATACCCTAATCTTTAACTTGCTTCCAATGGGGCCCCAAACCAGAATAGCAGCAGGCAGTGAATGGATTGATGGCTTTGATCATCTTCAGGATGTTATCTTGAACTGAATTTTAGATGGTGTCCCCAAATACCAGTCCTCGGAAAATAATAAATAAAGTTAGTTTAGGAAATTAGAGCCCTAGAGTCCCTTGCTGGAAACACACATGTAAACCTCTGTGACTAAAAATTCCCTTTTTTCTTCCCACACATTCATTTTGTCTATCAGTTCAGACACTGAGCTGGTGTAAGTTTTAGATCAGGCTGAACTAAGGAATAAATATTCTCACACAATGTCTTAAAATGAGTGATATTCCTGTTCATGACAAGTTCTTAAAGCTGCATTAACTAACTATGCATACGCGTGTCTAACGTTGTTGGTAGCGCATGTATCTGCAGTAACACAAGCAAATTATACAAAGGAATGTTTTTCCCAGTAATATTGATACAGTACTAATGTTGCAGCCACTGTTGCATCACGTTCATTGTTCCATACTTGACACAAATAACAGTAATCATGAGTTTTATGTGAAGAGAAATTTCATGTTACGCTTTGATACTTTAACAAACTCCCCAATTTTCTAGCTATATTGATGAGGTAAATTTTAGCAACTTCTCACTAAAATGCTACACAGACTGCAGTGTTATGTCTAACAAACTGGACCAAAAATGAGCAAAATGACTTCATTTGCTAGTGCAGGAAAATGTGCTGGTTTCCACTAATTGGACAGCAAAACACCAACTTTGCAGTCAGTTGGAATGACTCCAAATTACAACCCGAATAATTCAATACAAAGGTACAAAATTGAAATGCTAAAATTAGCCTGCTAAAAATGCTTACGTATACCCTTTAGCCAGGTACAGTACTTATGCATCTAGCAGGAAAAAAGCCACATACGTGTCAAATTTTATCCCTTTGGATGCTTTTAATGCTCTCCATCTCTAACATGCCAAACCGATGTTAACCCTGGTTTTGCCTCCTTTGTCGCACTCTTCCTGTCCTACGTAACACGGCCTCTTGTGTTTAACAGGTCCACTCCCATCCTGGGTTGTACCTGCAGAGGGAGTCACCATGATCAGTCTGTGAAATGAGCCATACTGGTTTGAAAAACACATCTTATAACCTCAGATCAGTGAGGACATGGAAAAAAGTGTGGTGTGGATTTTAACATCAATAGCTACAGAGGGCACGAAATAATCACAAGGCCTAAAGATCGCAGAGCAGGGTGCGGGGCTTAGTACAGCAGGGAGACAACACTGCTAGACAATATTTTACTTGATTTATCCAAATTTGTGCTAAATCGTAGTTATTTCTCCTTTAATTTCCAACAGCCCACGCCTCTGTTCTGTTATTGAAGCTCATCACGTCATGCACCATTCATTCTTTATAAATATTCATAATGTGCAGCTCTTTTGTCATTGCTTTAATCTTAGTCTTTGACTTTGCTTTTTGTTCATGGTCATGTTTTGGTTGCTCTGGGATTATGAAATCACCCAGAGGCGAGTTTTAAAGAAGCAGGGTGTCTGTCTCCAGAGGAAAAGTTTCAGTGCTTAGTGTATTTAGTTAAAAAGTGAAAAGGTAGGATGGTGTGTAAATACTAAATTGCTAGACATTTTTTCTCATTTTATTTAATGTTTTATCAGATTTGAAAAAAGATGATTGTGTTTAGTGTAATGCATCTGAAATCCCTGAATGTTGTTTTTGGAACAATTTTAAAACTATAGTTCCTTATTGGTGGTGTCAGTCATAAAACTAGTGAAATGTCTGCGTAGATATTGATCTGTATTCCTTTTTTGCTAAATGAAAGAAGGAAGAGAGGAAAAGAGACAATGTATTTACTTTATGGTATTTCTTCGAACATAGTTTGTTTACTGTTGCTACGTCCTTTAGATTCAGTGTAGCTCCTGTGGCATATTTGTCATCTCATCCTCTCCTGCTGACAGCTGGATAAATCTTTTTTCCCCATCTGTCTCCACCACAATTTTGGAGCTAATTGGCTAACTCAGCTATATAAATGTAAATGGTTTCTGAAGATATTGGTGAATTTTCTCCCACACCAGTTTTAATGTGACAGCACAGAAAAAGTTAAATTACATTTCAATTCTGTTTATTTGTATAGCATCAAATCACATCAAAAAAATCATCTCAAGGCACTTTTCATAGAGGAAAAACGAATTCCCTGTGAAAAGACTTGGCAACAGTGGGGAGGAAAAACTGCCTTTAATGGAAGAAACCTCTGACAGACACTGGCTCATGGTGGGCGGCCTTCTGCCTTGACCAGTTGGAGTGAGTGGATAGAGGAGAGAGAAAAGACGAGCATCAGGACACAACAGACAGGGTCACCTGATTCAGCCCTAAGTATAAGCTTTATCAAAAAGGAAAGTCTTAAGTCCAGTCTTAGAGGGGAGAGGGTGTCCGTTTCCCGAACTGAGACGAGGAGTTGGTTCCATAGGAGAGGAGCTTGATAGCTAAAGGCTCTGCCTCCCATTCTACTTCTGTAAACTGCAGGAACCACTAGCAGACCTGTACTCTGAGAGTGAAGTGCTCTGTTGGGACAGTACGGTGCTTTGATGTTTTAAAGATATGATGGAGCTTGATCATTAAGGCCTCTCTACGTAAGTAGAAGGATTTTAAATTGCATTCTGGATTTTATAGGGAGTTACTGTATCAACATAATCGACGTGCACGAGTCACTGACTCGTCATTGGCTTCACAACAAAAAGGCAATTGCAGCTAAATGAGGCATTGAGACAGGTTAAAATGTAGCTTTCCAGACAGATACGCACTGATCATTTTTATTAATTATTATGCAAAGTATGAATTAGCATTTTGATGTTGTAGTTGGAATTATATTTGAGTGTTCTATAGACCTCGGTTTGACATCGCATCAGTGATTTATGAAACACTCAGCAACTCACTTTGCTTTTCTTTCACTGAGGAACAGTACAATGAAGCCAGAGCACTCTGTCTAACGTTAGACTCTCTGAAAAGACAGGCGCTCCTAGTTCTCTGTCAGCCAGCTCTTTGATGTTTCACTGAGGCTACATGTTGTGTGTCTGATGTCACAGACCTAAGCATCTGCTTTATTAGTTCTTTTGTAACTTGTGCAGCATAAATGGCTCACAGCACAGTTCCTTTGCATTTAAATGAATTTTGCAACGGCACTCCAGATTACATCCCTACCTTAAGACTGCAATCCATGCAATCCACCCAGTGCAGCTTACAAAGAAAGCCACTATAAATAATCAGTCCCAAAGGCCTAACAAGGAGAGCAGTTCAGATGAGGAGTCAATTGCAGGTGATCCCATGAGATGGGCAAAGACTAGACATAAATCTTTCCTACAAGTATTGCTGATGACAGTGACAGGAAGCCCATGTACTGTAGCATGTGCTCAGTTCTCTTTGAACAGAGTAATAAAAGTAATAATAGGCTAATAACTATTTTTATAAACATTACTGATATTCACACTAATAAGTACAATAAATAAATAGTCCTTCAAATAATATCGAGAACAACACAATTTCTGTTAAACCCTCTAAAGGAGATCACTTAAAACCTAAGATAATACAGCTGCAGACAGAAACTATAACATTAACATATTTAGGCTACTTAAAGCTGAAGTGTACATTGCTGTTTATTGCAAAGTTGGACAATGACATGATGCCATAGGGCAAGTCAAAATTCTTGGATTCTTGCAGGAAGAGACTTTGCCTGGAGTGCAGAGAGGACGTGCCGCTCTGCTCGCTGGTTTCACTTCTTCAGCCATTTTGAGATAACAAAATGTCGCTCTACGTTCATCTCTCCTGGACGGGAGGGGCCCAATAACTCCTGAGGCTGCTGTCGCAGCGGTGACAGTTAACAGACAGTGCCAGCATCGGAGAGGCAATGAACTGTTGTGCTTTGCAAAAAGTGTTTGTGACAAACCCTGGACCTGGGAAAGTAGTTTGCAAACAAAAAAAATTCTAAAAATGTATTTGCATAAAGAAGTAGACATTTAATTAGTAATGTGCATACCTATGCACTGATGTGTTTTTTAAAATCATATTTCCCAAGAACTTAATTGATTCATGGCTGTACCAAACACAGCAGGTGTCCAGGTCCTTCTGAGGATCTAGGTTAGCCTTTGCATCTGGAGGACCCTTGGAAAGACACTTTCTCTAAACGTGCCATGGGGCATAATGGAACAAGTTAATCACTTGGACCTTTATGGTTTTTAGTTTTAGGCTTAAAGGAGAATATAACATATTCCAACTTATCTTCATCTCACTTGACCAAAAAAGAAGAATGTGACAGCTCTGTTTCCCTCTCTGCCACTCCAGGCCAAACACTGCTGGATGTCAAACCACACTTTCTGAACAAGGCCTTTAGCTGTGTCAGGGGACAGTGCAGGTGAACCTCTAATAGGTCTCAGGTCAAACTCTGACATAGGTGGATAGTCACTTACTGCTTTTTCTGTAGCGTTTAACTGCAAATTTACAAACTGAATAGGAGGAGTGGAACCTGGGTTTGGTTATTATGTTAAAGGCAGTTAGGTGTCAGTTTGTGCCTACCCTCAGGCTTGCTGGACTTGCCAGGTTGAACTCTGTCCCTGGTTTTGATGGTGGGATCCAGAATTCTTTTTGCACCTCATTAAGGGAATCTGCTCTGTAAGAGTTTAGATCTGTTTGTGTTTTTCCTCTTTTTGTTTAAAGAAATCATTTAATGCTTTCACTGCCCAGCTTGAAACTTTTTTAGTGTTGAGCTCATGTTTGTTTTCTTCTGTTTTACTTAGCTCTTCTTCTGTTATCACTTTGTGCTGTCTCCCCTTAGACTTAATGGCCTCATTTTGAGTATTCACCAACAGGGTTAAATGAAATGTTCAAGTCCTCCATTTTTTTGGGTGTTACTTCTTTCTAAAGGTTGTTGTTGTTGTTAAATAGCCAGCTCATCTGCTTGGTGCTGATGCTTCACTGCTGTTGCTAAATTTACCTACAGTTTAATAGGGGCACATTGATTTAGAACATCACACAGATTCTTAGGCCATAGATGTGTGTTTAAGCTGTGTTGTCCTGCAGAGTTAATCAGCAGAATCTAGAATTTTTCATGGCCATGGTATAAAGTATACAGTAAACTACAGCATACTAAACTGTAATACAGTAGGCCTATGGTAAGATAGTTGAATAATTTGCAGGGTATTGAAAAGTCAAGGTTTAATGCAGATATGGTCTTCCTCTCTTACTTAGGAGACTTATGGTTCCTTTGACTACACCTCTCTCCTGTACCTGTCTGACTACGGCTATGACTTCACTGGAGGAAGATTTGTATTCATGGATCAAAATGGCAACCGCACAGTGGAACCGCGAACAGGTACTTACCAGCCATTAACAACTAAATGTGCCTAACGTTGAGCTTTCTCCCACTTAAGCTTCAGCAGTAACACCTGGTAACCCCCAGCTTTGTCTATAAGCCTATTAAGCTGCACTTGAAAGAAATGAAGCAATATAATTAAAGGATTTTTATTATTACAACCGTGTTTAAAGTTATAATTTCTGTACTCAGCTGCATTAGGAAATCTGGAGGTGGATTAACACTCAAATGTGTAGCAAAGTGGGAATAATCCTCTCTGTGGGTAGTCTGCAGCACAGACCGCTGCACAGTGAAGGTGCAGGGGATTACCTCAGGGCTTGACCTCACTTACCGTACCCCAGGGTATTAGACAACATCTAGGTCCCTTAGTAAAATATCGGTGGCTTCTGTCAGTACATTCAGTATGCTCCTAGAACAACAAAATATAAGTAGGCTGTGAGTAAGTGGCTGTAACATACTGTATATATGAAGTTGTCTGTACAGAATACATATGCTAGGTTTCAGGGGCAATTTCATTAAATAACATGGGGCTTGAGGCAAATATGTGGCGTTTTAAAATAGGGGAATTGGACCAGTTGTCTGGGGAGCCTGTGGATGATCAGGGAGGTTTCTGCAGCCAGTTGCTCAGAGCCCAGAGATCAGCATGCGAGCACATAAGTGAATGTGAGGTGTATTTCATTTGCTGAAAATGATGCAGTTTCCTGTTTTGGAAAACCTGGTAAGTCTGTGGTGCTGCTGGAAAGTTGTATTGCTTCTAGGAGCCTTCCTTTGCATTATCTTCCATGGGAATCACAAGTGGTGTTGTCTTGACCACCCTGAGGTGGAGGAGAGTACATCCGTTAATTATTTCCAAGGAATCCTCTCTCTGCTGCATGCACATTTGCTACAGCAGTAAAAGACAATATGCAAGCGCTGTAAAAGGTTTTTGTCACAAACTCAACTAACTGGCTTCTCTCCTTTATGATTTCACATGAGTCTCTTCAGACCTTATGACTGTGCATGAGCGTCTAACTTCTGATGGAAGCTGTGCGTGACCTTTATATGCTGTTTTCACCCTCACTGCACCACACGGTGACATCATCCGGCAAAGGTGCTATGTTGACCAATCACATACAGGGGACTATTGGAACGTGGATGCTCATAGGAATAAGGCTCTTCTGTTTACCTTGCTAGCATGAGCATTCACTGCCATTCACTGTTGAATTTGGGCCACAATAAATGCACCATAAAGACCCGCCATGCATTTTCATGTTGACACACCGGTGGTAAAATAGGTGCTAAGGTAGAATAGGCTGCCTTAGCAGCATGGCTAACCAAAACACAACGGAAGCTTACAGGCTGTAAACGTGAATGAAACCACTCACATTGACTCATCATAACGTGGCCGTATCAGGCCTACATCACTTCCCCCAACCCCTCACCTCCCAACCAACGTAGCCCTGTGTGTTAAAAGACAGTAGAGACCTTAGAGACCTGCATTATGCTGGACTAATGTGAACATATCATCACACTTATCATACTGGTTGCTGCGCTGGGTTTGTTACAGTATGTACTGATATCACAAGACACCTTATGCCTCATCAAGAAATATTATCACATTTTAATATTGTGAGGTCTCATAGTTGAAAGTTCAAAGTGTTTATTTTGTCATATGCACAGTTAGGAAACGTGTTTCCCTGTACAATGAAATTCTTACTTTGCTGTCCACATGAATGCCACAAAATACAAATGAAATATAAATAACACAAAATCTAAGACACTTTAAGCAGCACAGATGCAGCAATATAGTAGGAAAAAAAATACAAGAATATAACCGAATGTACTCAACTCAACTCAACTCAACTTTATTTATATAGCGCTTTACCACAGCACAGCTGACCAAAGCGTTTAACATATCATACAGATCTAAAATCAACACATAAAAAACTATAAACAATAAAATAAACACTCTAACACTACAGACAGAGTCTCATTCCTGGCCAAACGCCAATGAACACAAATAGGTCTTCAAATAAGACTTAAAAGTCGACAGCGAGGGAGCCTGCCTAATATAAAGCGGCAAAGCATTCCACAGGTTTGGAGCCACCACAGCGAAGGCTCTATCCCCCCCCCCTAGTTTTCCGCCTGGCCCTTGGTGCCTCCAGAAGAAGCTGATCAGCTGATCTGAGGCACCGCGACGGATTATACGGACGCAAAAGTTCCACAAGATAAGATGGTGCCAGCCCATTTAAGGATTTATAAACAAATAAAAGAATCTTAAAACGAAGCCTAAAACGGAGGCCAATGGAGAGATACCAGTACTGGCGTTATGTGGTCCCTCTTACGCCTCCAGCGTACAGTGCATTACAGTAATCCATACGTGATGTAACAAACGCATGGATCACTGTCTCCAAATGCTGCCGCGACAAAAAGGGTTTTAGTTTCACTAACTGCCTTAAATAGAAAAATCCAGAATGTATGCTGCATGGGAGCAGCATGTGCAGCAGTCAACAGTCATTGTGCAATTATGCATGTGCAAACAGAATGTAAACAGTACATCACATATTTCCTGGTAATAAACTCCTCAGCTGTTTAGGAGTCTGATGGCAGAGAAAAAAAGTTTTTCAGTCTAGTGGTCCTGCATTTCACACTTCTGAACCTCCGGCCAGAGGGCAAAGAAGTGACCAGCCC